GTGATTGTTAAACCTTAATTAAAGTTAAGAGAGTAAGTTGTGTGAGAACGCCCTCTAATGTTGGATTCAGATCCTGTGATATTATATCATGACAATACCATCAAAAAAGGAAAGAGTTCTGAAAATCGTTCTTTTGTTGGCATTAAATGAAAATTTTCTTTGACCATAAGAAAAAACTTTAAAACATCAATTGGATGCATGTCTATATGCCAAGGAACGATTTTTTTGTGGTAATATGTGTCAATTTATGTAATATGTTTTTGTGGGGGTGGAGGAGGAAGTGAGTGGATACGTCAGAGATATCCATATTCACACAACTTAATTCGGTAAGGTAGCTTTTATGGTAATTACAAGAGAATGAGGAATTAAATGATAAAATGATAGCTTTCAATTATTATTACATATATTTGCACATGCAATAATACTATTGATTTGATATAGAAAAAATTGTTTAAATTTCATAGGTCTAATCTTCATTTATGTCTAGCATATCTTCCTCATTGACCTATTTGTGTTAACTACAGTAATCATCAAATCAAGGATAACCTCATGATGCTTGGAAATCATTGTGGACTTGAATCATTGGTTTGTACATTTACAACAATTATGAAGTAATATTACAGAATCTTGATGGCTATAAAATAACAACTAAAATTCACCAAAATCAAAATGTGTAGCTCTTCAAATGTCCATAGCACCACTAAAATCTGCATTGCTTCTGTGCACCCAAAACTACTGTATTAATGGGTACCTGGTTGCCTGCTCCTGCGCTAATAATACAACAGAAGACGATAGAGAGCTAGTGATGTGTTAGTAGTTGCGAAAAATGTTAAAACCATTTTCGTGTGAGTCATCTTAAACTAGATTGTATATCCTTTCCAGTCAACCTAATGGACATTTAAAATAATGGTCAATTTTCAGAAACAATCCCAGTTGAAATACGAACGTCCAATTACTTGATCAAACAGAGATTATTGTAATGTTCATTAATCAATCAAGAATGGTTTGGTGACTTTAGTCCATCTGACAAGTGTAGGCAGCTTCTTTTATAAAGTAGTATATCTGTCCATCTCCATTAGTCTGGTTGTTTTATCAGAGTGTTCACCCTCATCTGAATAAATTTTCCTTATTGTTTGCAGTTTCATTGAGTGATGTTATGGTTATCCCAACGATAAAAAAAAATTGTTGGTTTTTTTAGTACATAATACCTTTACTTGATGAATAATACTTTTCAAACACTTTTGTTTAACTTTCACAAATGCCAATCTCTTCTACCACTTGTAAAAAAAAGATAATAAAAAAAAAATAAATAAATAATCTTGGAGTATATGTGCGCCAATTAAAGGATACCAAACTTATGTGAACTCCTAAAGTTATGAACCAAATGCTACCTTCATAGTGCAGTAGAGAAAGGTACACTCGGAATATTTATAAAGCTGAATTTCAAGTAAAATGATCTTGGTTTAGCCTGCAATTTTTGCACTGCAAGTTTTGTCGAAGAACTTGAATAACATCAAAAATATCAGTGAAAGATATTTTGGTTGATTACAGTATATATACTATTGTTGTACAAGCTGTTCTTGCTTTAGTCTTATCTCCCTGGTCTTATCAAGATGAGACTAATACAGGAACAGCTTGTATATATAACAGTATACATAAATCACCTATATATAACAGTGGATCTGATTTAGGTAATTATACAGAAATCCAAAAAAATGTTATCTTACGACAATTCCAAACATGTTTTCTAGAGTAACTGAAAAGACTTCTCAACTAGAGCAATACAGATTGGTATTTGTCATGTAATTCCAGATGATAAGAACCGAGTCAGAGATATGAACGTGATATTGGTTATTGGCGATTATGCGTACAAGTGTGATATGCTTTAAACTTAACTGTGGGAAAATAAATTGTCTCCCGATATTGTTACACCAGATCAATTACACATTCTTGATTTTATTCCACAGTTGGACTTAAGTTCACTTGAGTTTACCTATAAATATTTACTTTTTCCCTAGTGCTTTCCAGCTTCAATACCTGAATAAATAACAATAACGATCGTTGATATGAAATAATTCTTACATTTATATTCATATACAATTATTTGAATAAACGCCCCACTTTGAATAAATGCCCCCTTCGAATAAACGCCCCTCTAGAGCCTCATTTGGAATAAACGCCACTGATGTTTATATTTTTTCCTCAAAAAAACGCCCCTCCCCCTCCAAATGACTGTAAACTAATATAGAGGAAGCAACATCACTCTCAACACATTGTATTAGTGTTTACATTTTTCTAATGTGTATGATCATGAAATATCACAATTTGATGGTAATTAGTTGTTCCCCATTTAACAGTTTCTTTAACTATATACATATCCACTTTATACCCAAAGAAATACATACCTCCCTTAAATATATGCCGGCCTGGATTAAAAGCCTCCTCAAAAACCGTTCTCGACATTAAATTCCCCAGGCGTTTATTCGAATAAATACAGTAATAATAGTTTTAGTTATAATTATTTGTACATAAGGTATACTTGAATAGATAATTTTCAGTTACTTTATTTTGACCAGGCATTTAGTAAATTACAGACTACTCATAACATGTATGACTTGAAGTCTATAGGTCTAGCTAAAGTATATTGCAAATATTCTAACAGTGTTCTGAGCTCTTTTTCATTCATAGAGCCATTGAACATTTCAGGACCAACAGCTTCACGTTCCATTGAAGCACGAGGTAATTAGCGTGAGGTGTCCCGAAGCACTTAACTGGTGCTTTCCTAAGAAAAGATTGAAATGTCAGATATTATGTTACATTGCTTGGGATCTTATTCTAGATCATGGCACAAATAAATGTATGATTTGAATAGATAATAATAATAATAATAATATTAATAATAATAAATAATAGTGATAATAATAATAATAATAGTGATAATAATAATAATAATAATAATAATAATAATAATAATACTGTAATAATAATAAAAGACTAATATCTATAATTATTGTTTCGGCCTATTTGTGTGTCAAAATAACTTGATAATACAATATATTTCATTTAATAGAACCCAATTAATAACTATATAGTTTGTAATAATTTTTCTAAATTGTAGATCTATAGCATGCCTCTGGGGCATTCTGATAAATAACACCAAAAAATGAACATCTTAATTTCTCGACCTGCATGATTTATACGACTTTCAACAACAAATTGTGATCCTAGATGTCTGGAAAATAAGCCACAAGATTCGAAAGAGCGTCTGTGTTTATACGACCATGTGAAATTTGCAATGATTTCCAGTAATTTAAGGTAATTCCATTGTGACCACTTACAAGGTGCGATCTGGCGGATGTCTCATGAATATTTTTATTTTGATGTATTTCTGATGTGCAACTGATATGCTCCAAGTACCATGAAATTCTGAATGATAAATCGTTGAACCAAAACGACCCGTACATAGGTTTTGTGTAAATGTACAGTACGGCAGGGATAGATTAGGGCATGTAGAGTAATTTTAAAGAGTACCCACTTGCCAGTTGCTAAGTACCGAAGTACATTAGTACATCTTCAACATGAATTTGAATTTTTTTTTTTTTATTTTTGAATGTTTTTCAAATTTAAATTTTGAATTTAAATTTGAAAACATTCTTCGTTATCTCTCAATTTTTGTAATATTTTGATATTTCCTCATCATTATTATTATCATATATTCTTTTTCACATCTTACATTGTTACAGTATTTACTCACGCCATTTTAAGAATTAAACTAAGTCTCATTACAAGGCATTTCATTTTTTTTCCATGTTCTACCAAGCAGGATTTTGGACCACCAACATTCTATGAACCGAATCTCAAATATTATTTTATGAAGCTTGGGGAGTGGAGTTGCTAATAGTTGTGAGAAAAATTTTGATCATTTTCACCAGGAATGAACCTGGCACCTTGGGATTGAAAGGTGGGCACCTTAACCACATGACCACAGCTCCACTTAAACAGTGTGAAGTAGTCTTCAATGCTCATGAGTGGAATCCTTGCATTTCACAGGGTTATAACAACCCAGAACAATGGGATTTGATGATACAATTTTCTGATATAATTTAATTGAATTGTCATGTATGTCATTTTTTTAAAGAGGGCCCCTGAATACCAGCTGACCTCCTTGGCTTAGCTACAAGGGCTGCCCTCTTTAAATACATAAAAAATGTTAACCTATCAATAGTTAAAAAGTTATTTTCCTAAACAAAACAAAAAAACTAATACATGGGCCACTTTATTATTATTATTTTAATTGAATTTTTATGACGTTTGAAATGTAGTTTTTGTAGTTTATATTTTGTAGTATATATTTTGACATTCATTGCAGTACAATTACGAAGGTGAATTATGCACACATAATTGTTTGGAACTGTTGAATTCAATTGAATAGAATATTATTATCATTGTAATTATTTTTGTTTTATTAGTATAATGGATTTCTTTGGGTGATTTTTTTTTCTAAACAAGACAAGTAGCTGAAAACCCCATCTTAATTTTTCATTCTTCAGAACCTATCTGTGATCTGTTTTAATTTACATTTTGGAACCTACATCTACATCTGTTTCTTTGAATTTCATTAATGATTTATGTTTAATATTAATTGTAAAACTTAATAAAATGAATGGATGATTATTAAATCCTATGTCCTTATTTTATTTCATGAAAATTTAACTGCAATATACAATCAATTTTTATTGAACATTTTGAAATGTGATAAGCAAAATATTATTATTCCTGCTCTTATATAGTATTCACTTTTATAATTTAATTTTGAATTTGATCTGAAGTAGGTTGGTTTGTCTCATCTACCACATCACAGTTTTTTATTCTCCTTTTATCTTTTTCGCAAAGGTACATTAATTTTTTCCCACATTCACTCATAGACTTACCATCTGTTCCAATAGATTAAATTTTGGTTTTTTTTTTCCTCGCTAAGTGAATATTCTGTTCTATTTCAGGCAGCCGAAGGTCTTACTGAATTGTATTGCAAAAAAAAAATTATAAATTATATTCAACACTAACTGTGTGGAGTTCGAATTGCCGTAAGAGACAGCAGTCATAAGGAGACCTGAAGATTATCAAAATTGATCATTTGATATCGGCTTGATTAAAATTCATTCATAAGCTCCAAATCTCAAGAGAGCGAAAGTGGTATAGAATTCATCCTAGAATTTAAGTTTGTCCGGAGACTCTAAACAAACCATGTGTAACATTTAAGCTTATCGCCACCAATTGAAAAAGAAAATCATACGCGAAGAAGAGAAAAGACTATTTACAGACGATTAATGATGAAGAAACTTATGGTTTTACTGTTCGTCATCTGCGGCATTTTCTACACCGAAGCGCAAGTGCCGGGGTATGTTTGGCAAACAGGTAAGTTGGAGTGCTTACAAAGTAGTTATCTCGCAATTTGTTTCTACTTATAACATAATTAGGACTTCTTGAATATCTGTCATATCAAAAGCTTTGACCTGATTCTCATTTGGAAAAAAAAGCAATATTAGAAAACTTCTTGTGAAACTATTGGTGATGTGAATTCAGTAGAATATTGCATAATCTTTGCTCTCTTGCAGGTAAATTTCAAATTTATGCTTTTGTCTTTCATGATAATGCACCATCATTCTTTGTCTTTATATGTTTTATTGCATGTTGTAATACAAGGGAACTACCGTAAAATTAAACGCTGACTTTTGGAGTGGAAAATGTTTGCCTTTAATATCACAAAAAATTTTACTCATAATATACAAATTACTTCCAAAATTTCAATCATGACTTTAAAGGACATGTTCATTGCTTTAAAAATGTCAGTGAATGTTTTGCATCAGAAGCGGGAGACTGCATGCTGTCAGCAACATTTCTAGTGGGAGGGAGTTATGTTCCCATCAACATAAACTCTATTGACCTGTAAAACAATGTCTCAGAAAAAAGAGACAGAAAAGAATTAATCGATTCTAGATTCGAAGACACAAAAATGGTGATTGTATTCAAATTTTGCTAAATATCGATAGTGTTTTTCCCTATCTGAACCATTTATAAAACTCAAATAGAACATAACTGTAGATACATGTATAAGTATATTCCACTGGGGAACGGTGCATTTTTCTGTCACATAGCCTTTCGGTTTCAGCCTGTGGTTGTTCCATAGTTAAGCAAATTCTATTACAAATCCCTTGTCAGTAACTACATTTTCTAATGCTTTCTCAAAGTCCCCAAAGTAGTAGGAAACAAGATTTGGCAAAATGTATCGAGCTTAGGAACATTAGCTCAGCTAGTAATTTTTCCATTTCAGGCTGCAAACATACTAAAAATAACAGAAATAGCATGTATGCCTATGGGTGCCTTCAATTAACTTTACATAATGCATCTACACTTGATAAAATTCTGGTACTGTACAGTATTTTGAGGGAAAAACAATTTTATGAGTGACAGAGGAGAAGCATGAAAAAAACCAAACCACCACCTGTGTTAAGCGTGTACAGTATTCTTGCACTGCCCTCGCTGTAGCTTTCGTAAAGGATTAAATCAAAGGATAAATGAGAAAGTAGAAATTTAATAGCCGATTTAGTTCTCATAAATCATTTAATATAGAACATACAAATTTTCTTCATTCGCTGACCAACGTTTCATTCAGAAATTTGTTCACGTATAGCATAGATGTTGTGATTGTGTGCGTGTGTAAGATGTGCGGTTTCTGTTCTCTTTCATCATCAAATTTATAAATTATTAAATTTATTATTTAATTAAATATTGAATATACAGTAATAGTATCTTGTCATTTTTTTGTGGTATACTAATAGATTTATTGGTTTATTAATCTAGCTGTATAGTTATTTTATGTCAATATCTTAATGTAATATTTTGATAGCTGCCAATCATATGAATTGTCTCATTTGTTTGTAACCCGGTCTGGTTTTTTTTTTTTCTGCTTTTGATGAATGAATCTGGAAAACTCTTAAATGTACGTCCTTAAATCGTACTAAATGTATATAGTTTGAACATGATAAATCTTTTCTCATTGACTTCGTAGCACCCATTGAACTGTAGAAAGAGTTTGTCTTAATAGTGCTGCCATTTTTGATTCAAACAAATTGTCAGGAATGTGACTTGTTGCAGACACCAGTCTCAAAAAGTATATAAATAAACACTAAATTATTTAATTGTCTCAGATTATGTAATTTTTATTCAGAAACGAGAGAACAAAAGGATTATAAAGATTTAAGAAATGTAACAACTTAAAGTTGTTGCAAAGTTGCCTTGGATTGATCAGACCCTATCACTCCAGTTAGTTTTAGGAAATATTTAGTTTAGTATAATATAATTATTGTTATTAATTAATTCAATAAGTTATTAATCTATTTTGACAAAGTAAAGGAATTAAATCACTTTATTGTTAATATTATTGTGTATTTACAGTACACTTTAACTATATTCTTAAGTTTTTGGGACCATTTCTCATCTGCTTTGTTTCAACACTACAGTAAGCCCATTATCCCAAAGGCTGATTATTTCATGGAAAAAAATAAATAGAATATGGCACCAAATATGGGAATAACTTTTAAATGAATTGCTTTGTCTAATAATATATACAAAATTTGATTTAAGTTTATGATTTATTATCATTAAATAATAATAGTCTGATAAAGCATAGTTTAATGTTGTAGTATTAATATTTTACTATTTTATGATAAGAATGTAATCTTAGATGAAAAAAAAATTAAGAATACACTTCATTTGTAATAATGTTTTATTGTTAATTTTCTGTCCATACATAATTTTATAATTTTGTCATAAAATATTGAAAATCTGATAAAGCATTAATACAATCAATGTTATACTGTACAGTATTATTAATTTTCTTTATTGTCTATTTCATGATATAAACATCCATATTTTATGATGAGGCTTTTTTCTTAACTATCACTTTTGTCATTGTTTTCATTCTTCTCACATTGACACTCTTTTCCAATTATGTGCAAATTTTAAGAGTCAACAGAATGAGCTTTGAAATATTCTGTGACTCACCGACGGCTAAAAACCAAGAGGGTTACAAAACCGACATACTTCTCACTTTACCTACAAGCACAAGTTCCTACTTACCAGATAAAAGTCCATACTTTTCGCATCATCTACAGTCGCAAGTCCCTACTTACCGTACAAGAGTTCTTAAACGTCAAGCAAATAAAAGTTAGCTGTCAATTCCCTTTTTTTAGCATTGCTAATTTTAATGTTAGGTTATGTTTGGTAGAGCAGTACAAACTTGCAGTATACAATTGGATGGAGAAGGAGAAAGTGTATGTTAAAACATGGGTGGATCTAGAGGGTGAATAGGTTGGCTCGCCATCCCTGACCTTTCCTAAAAAATCCCTAGGTCTACCAAGCATAAGTTAGAAACAAATAAATGTTATTAAGTCATAATGTCTAGTAACAGCATCTATAGTGGCTTACCTTTTACAAAATAATCTACAATTAAAGGGGGAACATGTCCTCTCTTTCCCACTTTAATTTGCCCTTACTCAAACCATGCAGTAGGAATAGAATGGTTTCCCAACCTTGACATGAAGGTTTCGATACCTCGCTTCTTGCTTAAATCAATTGAAAATTGCTTAAACAACATAAATCCCAATTTATTCTTAAATTTGCTAGTCAACAATTCAACGATTTTTTTTAAATCAAAAAGTCGGAAAATTAGTGAAAACTGAATTGTTTGATCTGTGTATGTAATAACTTTATTCCTTTTAAATGAGCAATGAATTGTTGTAATTGAATTTTAAAGGGTTTTTCAGATTTCATCACAGACCTTAGGACACAATCAATGAATACGAATTACAAATAAGGCAATGAATTGCATTCCAATAGCAAGGGTTAGAAAAATACTGAAGCGGAAAGGCTGGATTGATGATATGGAATTATGGCACATGCATTAAGCAGTAGGGCAGAATAGAGGAGTAGAAATATCAGGATTCCTCCTACCGAAAGATGATGTCCATATACCGGTAGATAGAAAAAATTACTCTTGCTAGGAGCAATTTACAGTTCGACAGCTCTGCGTTCTGAAGACAACAGATTCCTCTTCTGCATACAAGTCAATTAGAAGTTATTATCATAGTGATGTGTTTTGATAGATTTATTACCGCTCTTAAGTTAAAGATTCGTACGTCATATTTGATTGGAAAAGTATTTTACTGAGATCCTTTCTGTTATCCAAACTATTCAACAGCTAATTGAATTCTTGTCAAATGATGTTTTTCATGTCTTCTGCAGCTTGGCATTTGATCTGTTTTAAGATGATTGGCTTAGTACTCACAGCACATTGTCTAATGAATCATGTTGTGCAGAGCTCTTTTATCTTCTGTTCATTTAGAGTTTAATTAGTAATAGTAAATAGCATCATTGAATAATGATAAATGTTTTATCATCTTTAATATTGAGAATAATATTAACGATAGAATGGAACACTGCCATTTATCCCATACTATTTATTACTTTTTCATCATTTCCAGTATCATCATCAACCATTCTCATCAACATTTGGAAACCAAAATCACTAGCATAGTGTCTTAAAGTATCATCATTAATATTATCATTAGAATTATCATCATTGATACTTTCATCATCATATCTCTGATCATCATTACTTTTATACTCAATCATATTTTTATTAATTTCATCATACTATTTACTGTCTTTTCATCATAATATTTATCAATATTATCATCAACATTATTATAAGTAATCACATTATCATCATTATTTTTATCATAAACAGTCATATTGTCATCATAATTAACATCATAATATAATTATTATTAACATTACCATTATTATTATTATCATAATAAACCATTATCAATTATCATTATTATCATCATCATCATTTATCATTTATCAATATTATCATCATTGTATTATCGTCATCATTATTAATACGACCACCATACGTTATCATCAGCATCGAATATTATACTTTCAATCAACACACACCATCATAAATCTACGTATCATCCTTCCTTAACTCTCAAATAGGTCCGAGTCCACATTTCCTCTTAATGGCCCTACTCTTTTAACACCTCTGTCCAAGTACAATTAACAGTAGGCCTAGAATAGCCTCATTGGTGATGTGGCTCACCACTCACCACTAGAGCTTACTAGATTACGGAAGAATCGCTAGTATTCCATTTTATTAGACAACGGTAGAATTGCCAGGAGGTTGAAGACCCCAGATGGCTTATCGCATTATTTTTAATTACGACTCAAATTGCTTGCATTGAAATTCAATATGCAAAGCATAAACAAGAAGTCAATCAGAGTGTGAAAGCTCTAATTTGAAATTTACTATTGGTAGAAGTAGATCATGTAGAATTGAATGAGAGGGGTGTGGTTGGTGTCACAGGGTGTCGAGGCCATTGATTAGATGGACAACATGGATATGGATGGGAATGCTCGAAAGGAAGGGAATGTGGAGGGGGATCATAGCTTATTTTGGAGAAGAGGATTTGCCAGGAAAGAAGGAAGATTGGGTTTTGAAGGGAGAACAGGAGTAGGGGCAAGGGATATTAATTGTGGTATGTAACCACAGAAAATTTGGATCCTGAAATGTATAAAAGAATAGGGGCTTGGCAAAAATTATGAAATAAACAATGAACAAGAAGACGAAAGGTAACACGATTTATAAATTGGAAGGATTGAAGATAAAAAAGGAGGGGGGTTAGAAAATGTTGGTGAATCTATATGAACATCTATGATATAGAACCATATCTTAAGCCCTATCAAATTTTGTTAGACAAAAACATGAACCATGCCTAAATATGGTAATGATGACATCATCACCATGTATAGACATACCATTACTATATATGGGCATACAACAGCTTTTTGTCAAAGAAAATTTGATAATCTGGACAGATCTTTACTAGCAAGAGCATTTGAAGTATATTACATCTTAAGTCCATTGACTGTAGGTGACTAGGAGTAATTTCTACTGTTTTATTCTCAGGGGAATTTAGAAGGAACGTAGTACAGTAAATCAACAACAGGCATGGAATTTGCATTTTTTAATTACCTTGCCTATATATATTTTCCTCTTAATTACACAAAATACTTCAAACTGAAATAATCATCTTGTTCGTTAGTAGCATGGCACCTAGGCTGACCATTTATCGTGCACTAGACTAATATATCATTATATCTAATAGTCTGTAGAAAAGGAGAGGTCAGTTCATTCTGGAAGATTATAAGAAATATCCACAGCAATGTTTTGTTAAAGAAATTGTTTATGTAAAATAATGTTAGAATTATATTTTATCACTCCGTTTTGATATATTGTTTGACCAACTAAGGTTTAAATAAACATGAGTAGCCATAACTTGGTTGAAGTATTTTTCTCAACAAATTCTTTTATTGTAATAAATCTATAGGTAAAATTTATGTGAATGGAATGAATAAAAAATTATTGAAATTTTCAATAATTATTTTTTTTTTATATTGAGTAAATTGCTTTTTAAATAAGAACTTTGTTTCTTTTGATGTGTGTTTGCATCAGGAAATCATTGGAGTGATGTTTTCCCTACCTGACGTGTTATCGTACCGAATCATTAGTACATTCCCAAATACTTGCGGAAAAAATTTGCAAGTGGGTGGGAATCGAACCAACAACTTCCACAGAGGTTGCAATTAGTAACTAGTTTTGAATCCGATCTCAAAGTAGCAGAGCGGGCACTCTTAATTTCTGTTATATACTTTTAGTATAGGATATTTAAGTCATTTCACAATATTTTAAATAAATCTATTAATTTTTTATGTTACAGCTGTGTACTCTGTATTAGTATGTAATGAAATTAAAGTTGGGATTTTGTGAAACAAATTTTTTTTTTCTAATTCGCATTTGCGTACAATGTAAAGATGCTTTGGAAGCAGTTTCACGGTCTAATTGAGTTGTTTTCCTCTGTTAATCACAAACACAGATAAAAGTGTTTTAGACATAATCACACGACAATCTAAAGCTGTTGAAAATGAGAAAATACTGCATGTTTTTTCGCATTAAAAATCCTCTGTATTAGCAGAGTGAATTTACCAAGGAAATAATTTCTTGTATATATTATGGGATTTATTTTACCATTTCCTTTCTGTTGCCATAGTATCTCATCCTTTATCACCCGAAGATGAAATATAATGGAAATTCAAATGGAAACCTTAATTGATGCGGCCAAACCTGTTGAAGATTTCCCGATAATTCCCTGGATTTGTGGCATGACTCAGAAACTCAGGTTAAAGAACATAAAGAGATAATTTAAAAGTCTGTATAGATGCAGACCTAGGAGATGTTAAAAGCTCCTAGAGGGAGAAATAGTAATGGGCACTCGCTAGTAAGCCTAATTTATTGGTGGTATTTGTGCAATGTGGCATGTTTATTTGTTAGATTACTGAGGATGTATCAGACTAAATGCGTCAATTTCCAAGTGAAACAATTTGAATTATCTTTAATCAGTTCTGTGGGGCTGAAATATCATCCTATGTTGGTATCATGTAACTGCAAGCTCTTTTCTAAAAGTATATTTTAAACATAATTGCCCTGCAGAATGAAAGGTTACAGAAAAAAAAAAATCATGAAAGATAAGAGTAATGTTTTTACTGTACAGTATTTAAGTATTAATTTGATGAAGTAACTGTCTAATACCAACTGAAGGTCTAAGTGCATAAAATATGTACTTCATGGAATAGGCATTTTAAAATCTAATATTTTACCTTCAAATGTACTAAAAACATAAAAGCCATATTATTTTAGTTATCGAACACACATTTAATCATCAATTCAAATTTACAAAGAAAAAGTAGGATACAACATCTTAATAATTATGTTAGCAATTTGGATCAATTGTTTTTCAGTGTAGAAAATGCCATCCGGTTGAACGTATTTTGCAACGATAGCAACAGAGTAGTATCACGTGGTATCATGATGTAACACTGTAGTACTCTATAAGAAATGCTGATGTATAGTACAGGTGCATATCGATTGGGTGTCTCAACCCTTAAAGTATGGGTTTAATTCCTACTCTGGCCACTTGCTTGTGATCTTTCTCTACTCACGTTTATAAGGGGTTTCAAGTGCCAGTGCCCTGATTACTAACTGCTACATTATGGAATACACCTTTGGGAGAATATGCATTCCATAGGTATTTATTCTAATGGCTGGGATAATAACTTGTAAACTGTCTTGAGGCCTTACTAATAGACTATATAGAAAACCGACACATTATTATTCACAAGAGCACTTGGTAAAACAATCGAAGAAAACTATCACTCAATAATTTGATATTAATGACCATTGTATTCAACTTCTTTCTGCAGTGAAGAACCACCATACTAAATTCCGGACTTGCTTTGTGACAACAAAACATTTTTAATTTTTAATTATATATCATTGAAAAAAGTGCCAATTTTGTATTTCCTTTAAAAATATTACATTAAGTTGGACTCTTTTTTATTAAATTAGTTTTTATTTATTTTTTTTCCAGGCCCATGGGGGAAATGTCAATCAAACGTGTGCGGCCACGGAGGCCTGCAGAACCGTGCAGTATGGTGCAACCATGTTGATGGTTGGACCGCCCTTGATGATAACTGTAATATAGACGACAAGCCCTTAACTCGAAGGGAGTGTTTTAAAGTTTGTAAACAGCATAGCTACTTATTTGAGTGGGAAATTGATGAATGGAGCTCATGTGAAAACAAAAAAGGTAGTATCAGTGATAGACAACTTAAAGACTGTGGACCGGATTCAGTTGGTACCCAGAAACGAGACGTGAAGTGTCGCGAGAAAGTAACTAATTACGTGGACAAAGACGCAGATGGCATTGTTCAGGATTATATCTGTGAACTGTTTGGTGAAAAACCGCTAACCGTAAAACCATGTTTATTGCCTTGTAAACAAAATTGTATTGTATCGGCATTCAGCGACTGGACAGAATGCTCAAACCCATGTGGCAACGGCACACAGAGCCGCATACGTAGTGTCATCGTATCGCCACAACACACAGGAGAACAGTGCCCTACATTGAGTGAATCACGACTGTGTGATAGGACGGGAGAATGTCTGCCTACCAACTCAGCACGATATTACCTAAAAGTCGGAGAATGGAGTGCTTGTAGTGTACAGGCAGACGATAATGCTGATGAAACCCCGGGACTACCAGTAGGCCAGCAACTACGAGACTTTGCGTGTGTTAACAGTAATGGAAAGCTTGTTTCACTCAAGTAAGCATCACTTTTTCTTTTTCTTTTCATTTGGCCCAAGGCCAAGCATATGACATACAGCGAATATTATCACTTTTCTAAGTGGCATCCCTTCACAAGACAAACATACGCTCTTCAAGATGCTCTACGGTACATCGTAGAAAGTCTCATTATCAGGCTTAGGAAGTGGAATTACTTAGGTCGTGGTAATAAAATCCTGTTATTGTGACAGGAATTGAACCCAGCAACCTGTGATTGGAAGCCAAGCACCTTACCACCAAGCTATTCAACTCCACTTAAAACCTCTTTAATTATTTTTTTTGACTGTTTAAATTTCACCTCAAGTATAGAATGGAGATGCTGTGCTCATAATCCAAGTCAATATTTGGCTAGTTTGTAAATGTAGAGTCATTAGCCTGGTTCACATCAAAATTATATCTAGATATACATCCACTTTAATATCTAGATATAATTTGACTGGTTCACATTGAAATTATATCTAGATAAGTGGATGTATATCTAGATATAATTTCGACGTAAACCAGGCTACTGAGGTACATGCTAGAGGTTGTTGGTCTTTGTTTCATGCCTGCCATTTGATTGTGTCCTTGGACAAGTTATTATTAAGATAAGCTTGGTTCCATAGAATCACTCACCCTATCGGCAACATTCGCCTACAGTTGTCGGGAAGGTTGAACCTGGCACAGCAATGTTGATTGCGTTGCAGACGAATCAGGGTGCATTGCTAGCTGCCCTGACACAATCGGGAAGGCACCCCGATTTGTCTGCAACGCAATCGGCAAAGTTGAACCATATTCAACCTTCCCAATATCTGTTGGCGACTGTCGCCAATAGAGTGAGCGATTCTGTAGAAACCGAGAATATTAATGCATCAGTTGGAATTCATAGAGAAGACTGCACACTGTCTTATAATAGTTAAATTTCCACACTTTATGTGGAACACTATATTAATTATTATAAAAGTAGTAATTATTATTACCAGTAAAAATATTCTATCTACTGTAGAATTGTGGAGTATGCACCCACTGTCCAGGGCAATATTCAGAGCATGGTAGACAAATATCTTAACCACCAAACAAAAAATCTTCTGTATTTCAGAGTTTAATGTCTGATGGTATGATAAATTAATCAAAGGGAAAGGAATGATATAATCGAGTTTGAGATATCTCGTTTGACTTACTCTCTGAAATTATACTTAGAAACTGAGATATATAGGAGGCGAAATGTTGATGTCAAAATTCCATCCATTTCATCTTCATCAATCATGTCAGTGCTCCTCATGGCATATTGCATTACAGTTAAGAGAGCTCATCAAAACTTCTTAGTCTCGATCCAAAATGAAACTTCACATTTGCAAACAAAACGCCAGACCCCTTATCTCCACAGATTATAAAAGTATCCCATAATTTGTTGCCATGACAACAGGATGACTAATTCGTCAAAAAATATAGCGACTTATTAGTGACATGTGATGTATATTGGATGCCATATGTTAGATGCTTTGTCTGCAAACTGCTTCCAAATTGGCAATTAATCTAGTATCAGTAATACTCCTACGGTCGTTGATATCAATTAATATTTTTAGTGCAATCCTAGACGAGACACCCACGAGAAGCAGAGTAAAAGTATTTGCAACTATTATTACAAGATACTTTTGTTGCCAACCATAATGCCAACCATAACTATTTTATCGATGTTTTCATTGGTGTGTTTCGAAACATAGAATATATTACTCGTAACAGTAATACAAACTCAGATACATAAAATGTTGACTTTAGAAACACTAAAATTTATTGAAACAAATACTTCGGTTACTTCTGTAGTCTTTGTAAATGCTTGACGTAAAATTTTGTTTTATTTTATGTCAAGCGTTGGCAAAGACTGCAGGAATAGCCGAAATATTTTTTCAATAAATTTTAGTGTTTTTAAAGTCTTAGTTTGTATTACTATTACGGAGTACTATATTCTGTAAATAATATATAAATATAAATATATATTTATTTATAAATTTATAAATAATTTATAATAATTAACATTAATGTTAATTTGAGCTTTTGTAAATAAAAAAATTTAAGTAATAAAAAATTGAAATAAATGATAAAGCATTGTAATTATTTGTAATGATGATAATGTTAATTTTATTTATTCTAGCAATTCAAAATAATATATTTTCTAAAAAATAGAACCATGTCATTTATATAAAATTTTAAAAATTGCGTTATATATGTAATATAGCCTGATAGTGATTGGGGTAATTTAATTTAGTATAATATAATATAATAATAATATTAACAATATTTATCCGTTTTGATGTCAATTAATTATTGATAATTTTTTATGTCAGATTTGCATGGCACGTTTCTGATTGGTCACCATGCAATGTAAGAAAACTTTTAACAAACGATGAAGCCACGCATCTCACAATCATTGGAGACCTGTGTGGGGGCGGTATTCGTGAACGAGAGGCCTTCTGTGTAAGGCAGAATGACACCAGTAAGTATGATTCTAAATTAGCAGTCATAAGTATATTTTTTTGCCTGTAATGAAAATGCTAATATCACTCTTAACTCTCAACTCAACCATCTTTTTGGCCTCGCTACACTTCATGTATGTCTAGAGAGTCGTAGATGGTCTAAAGCCCTGGTTCTTCATTAATTTATTTGAAGGGCCAAATTATTTTTAGATTTGATGTCACAGGCCAAAGAAAATCTCTGAGTTTCAAGTATTTTGCTATAATTTATGGACTTAAGGTAAAATTCTTAAATGCTGTGGCCGAAGGCCCCTGTTGGCCACACAGATGTTTGGAGATTTTTTTTAATAATTTCAAATTCTATTCTATTTTTAATTGCAATACAGCACATTATTAGGACACTAAATTCATTACAATTTTTGCACCATAAAGATTGATATAATATTTTGCAAACAAAGAATTAGGATACTTCATTTAATTATTTCTTGCTTATTGATCTTGTATTTCTTGCTTGTAAAATCATCCCAAAAAAATTGGTGGCGCTAGTATTTGCTCAACGGCAGGGGGAGGAGCGATGTCCCAGAACCTTTGAATGGGGTCCAGGGTTCTAAACTTTAGGAAGCTGTAACAATTTAGTAAGTTTAAATGCTTAAGGCCCATAATCAATCTTACAGCCTCATATTCAGTAAAAGTTACATATGATTTTTTTCCATAACGAATGTGTTGAGGTCTTCTTTGAGAGAGTTTTCTCTGACAGGAATCTGCCTCTGCAACTGGCACCACCACATAATTTCAATTCCCACAAAATTAGAATTTGTTGGGAACTGATGGTTTTAAGTACTTAGCATGATGAGTGGTAAAGAGCTGCATTCAAATAGTCCTTGAATAGTTGTATAGGGCTATAATAATAAGCAGGCTTATGCAAATTTTAAATAAAACAATGAAGCATATTTTCATGCCAAAAATATTTTTCATGTTCGCTGGATGTTTAATGTTGTCGGTGACTGGTAATAGAACTTGTCATGTCTTCATTTCTTCGTGTAAAGTGTAACTCCGTGTGAAGTACCATTTCCTGAATTGGGCCTTTTTTCCCTATCAGAGTAAAATTAGATTTTTTTTTTTCTTTCATATTGACCTTGCTTAGACACCTAACCAAATATTGTTACCTGCTCGGACGTCGTCCATACAACAACTCCCTGGTAATAGTAATCCTGTAGGAGTATTTTCAAACCAAACATGAAGTTACAGGAATAATCGTGACAAAAACACAGTATTTTTTTTATTAGCCATACAGTTTGTTCAACTTAATAGTTTGGCAGATCGACACTTGGTATTTCTGTGTGATTTTACCTATCCTACCTATATTCACCAAATACCAGGGCTTATAAGTCTAAAAACATTTCACTTGTAAAATCTTGGGTCTACTCATTCTAAAAACAAGTCTCTGATAAAGCTTTAATTTTTAATTTTCTATGTCATATTTAGCTGAACTACTGTAAGACTAGACCTACCAATCTTTTGGCATTTGTCAATTGGTTGGTAACGGATTTAATTCTAGATCTACTTTACTTTGGCCCAGTGTTGTGTTTTGGCTTTCACTTTATTGGAAAATATTCATCGAATGGTTATTGATTTTAGTTTCTTTAAATATATTTTTTTATAATTAAATTTGTTCTCATGGGCCAGAAGAACTTGCCTATTAAGAACCAGGCCCTGGATTTATCAACCTCAGCTTAGCAAACGTCTTAAGTCAAAGAAGTTAAGATGTCCCTAAGCAAATATTTTAAGCTGATTTATCAAACCATCTTAACAAAATCTTAACTTAAAAAAACATCTTACATGGCGCATGCATACAATTAATTTTTTAATTTTAAGCAATTTTTAAGCTAAGCAATATTGATAAATCTGACTTAAGCAAAAAAATGAACTTAAGACGAATTTAAGCTGATTTCTAGGTTGATAAATCCGGACCCTGGGCTCTAAAGAGAGGCAAGCTACACAGTGGTGGATCCATTAATTTATCTAACATGTAGTTTAACATGTCTGTCAGGGGGTCTGAAACAAGGGGATGCTTTGGGCCTCCAGTCAGCTTGGACGACCCCATTCATGTCCAGTGTGGGGCAGTTCCCCTTTTGACTCATGCCACCACTGCAGCTACACCTATATGAAACGTTTGGCAAAAAGCTTGGACAAGCATCAGTGGAAAAGATGAAGATGATGATGATAATGTTTATGAAACAAGACCTTCTTGCCTCTGGCAGAATGCTATTAATGATGACATGGGCACAGAATGCTCTGTACGTGAGACTATGTTACAGGCATGTTGGATTTCACATACATTAATGCAGTTGATAGAATCAAGTGATAGAATCACCCGACCAACATACATACATTTTGTTATATTTATCAATCATATTCCACAGCACTCTACATTTAGTTTCACTACTGATATTTAAAGTTTTTTAGGTTTTCTTCATAGACAATCTTTAGCTCATCATAAACTAAACTATTTTAAATCAATGAAAAATATAAATATAAAATATACATCAAATGTACTTAATTGCCTCTTCTTGCTAAATTAGTTTAATGTTTGGTTTAGATACATATCAATTTGTTAGGTCCACTTAAATGCAAGGGTGCCACCATGAAAATTAACTTATCTCTTAACCATTAGCGCTTCTTCAAAAATATTGACTGTTTTTACTACAAAAACCGTAACTCTAAAACTAAAGGTCAGATAAATTAGGTTGAAACGGTTTATAGAAGTTTGTAAATATAGGTATTGCAAACAATTTACAAAAATTTTTTTTTTCAAATATTTCGCCCCGTCATTTTTGGGTTGAATTACGAAAATATTGTCGTTATTAGTGTGTTTTCAACAGGATTTGAGCTGGCTTATGAGTAATCGTTTCTTTACGTCATAACTTTGACTACACTAAACATGATTGCTTAGGTTGAAGCGGAAACAGAAAGCAAATTTACTTGTAATCAGTTAAAAAAATAATGTGATTGTATAACTTCTTCTTCTGTCATATTTCCATTCTTTTAAAAGCTTTCAAAAAGACAAAACTGCCCAAACACACAGCCAGCCCAGGGAATTGACGCATTCCATTTTCTGAACTGAAAAAAATATGGCACCTACTGTATCAAAGACTTGTTAAAATTAAATGAATATTCCTGATAGTGGACATATCTTATTTCTACAGTGTTTTTTTCACCAATGATTGATCGTTTAAAAAAGTGCATTCTTATATACCCTTTTCGGATAATGAAATCATCCAAACACTGTGCCGCGCAGCGTACTAAATCTGTTCATTTTTGCCTTTCTTACATGCGCAGTATGAAAAATGTTTTATTATGTGGCCAAAACAGCCCAAAATTGATATGTTAGATTATTTCATGGTTTCTTCTCTTAATATATAATTGCATACTTTGGAATTAACATTTAGATTAATTTTTTTTTTTGTCCAATTCCAAATATTTAAAATTGGAAATTTTGGCTGGCCCCTGGGGACCTCCAGCAGCTGCAGTACAGCCCCAGTACCAACTTGCAATGGATACATTTCCCATTATCCAGCCTAACTCTCATTCAAGGGTTATTCAAGGAGCAGAGCGATTTGAGTCTAACTGAAATCCAACACTGGCCGGGTTTGAACCAGGATGTTCAGCTAAAGAAGCAGGAGCACTACCTCTCGGCCAAATATCGAACCAATTTTTTTAACCTCTCTTTCACAGCATATGCACCAGTTGATGATTCTCTGTGCAGTGAAGGCCCCTCACCAAGTATAGTCGAGGTGTGCACTGTGCCCTGTACCATGAATTGTAAGGTATCACCATGGAGTGACTGGGGTATATGCATCCCAACCACCTGTCCAGTAGGAACTAATGCAACAAGTCCAGGTATATTGATGGATTATTTTTATTCCAATTTAGTATAATATTAATTGATTGTCTTATATAGAAACATTATTTACGATTTTTTTTTTTGCACTATTTTTTACAGGGGTTCGAAAACGAACACGTGTTATCCTCGTTGAACCATCATTGGATGGAGTAAAGTGTCCACCACTTAGTGAATCCATGCCATGTGATTCGGGAATGTGCTTCCGGTGGGACATAGGGAAACCGGGCGCATGTATGCTGTTTGATAAGAATAAGCGATGTGGAACTGGTAACAAAACCAGGACTATCCTGTGCATTGATAATGATGGGGTAAGCTACATCAATAAATTTGTTCTTGCTATATAATTTGCAAGAGTAAAACTGTTTACCAGATGAATTTAAAATATAACATTAGAACTTATATATATGCATAATGATTATACTTATACATTACAACAGTTTTCAAAATAGTCTGTCAAAAAAAAGTTTAGATTCAACCAATTTTGGTTTCATTCCTCTTCTTTATTGTATCAGTATCTTTTTAAAAATAATAGTTATCTGTTATTTTTTTTCTTTATTATATAAAATTTGTTTAGATCACTGTAAGTGACAGCATGTGTGGGCCCTACAAACCGCAGACATCATTGGCGTGTGAACTTCCCTGCCCTGGAGATTGTGTCCTTGGGGAGTGGGCACCGTGGTCTGAATGCTCAAAAACATGTATCGGCAAAAACAACCGTATAGGCTCGATGTATCGTAACCGATCCATTGTCGCCAATCCATCAGGTAAGCAGAAGATTTTTGTTGTGAACTTGTTCTTTTTGATTCTGCTGTCATATTCATATACATATATGATTTTGCTGTCCCCTCTGGGGAGGCTATTTGTGTGTAATGTGTGCCTCTTCTTGTTGATGTTGTTGTTGTTGTTGCCAGAGAGCAGCTTAGCTTAGTCGGCTCGTGGTAGCCACTGTGTGTGCGCTGAACCGTGGCGGTCTCTAGGTCCCCGGTCAATTCCCATCGCACTCTCCTTGTGTTTCAGCTGGAGGGCTGAGATTCAAGTTACGATACCCTCTTTCGGATGAGACATTTAAGAAGTTGGTCTCGTGTGCAATATGGCCCATGTGCACGTTTAAGAACGCAGTAGAATAGGGGATTGTCTTCTGGTGTACTGCCTAATTCCCTACCGGAAGGACCCCACTGGAAACAAATCTTCAAACTTAGTTGGTTATCCTTGGTGTGATTCACCGTGAAGTACTTCCACTCCACTCCGCCATGGAGATGGTCAATTATTTTTTAAGATCTGGAAATCATAAATGAAAATAGAGCCTATTGATATTTAGTAATGTTTATTATTATAATTATTAACATCAATTAAAGGGTTGTGTACATTTGAGTTATGGTATATTTATAATTTTACTATATTGATAAATAAATAATTATATCATACATGCTGAATGGTTTCCTGTGGAGTAATCATTAATTTTGGATTTTTTTAAAAATAGAAAATGGTGCTCCATGTCCAAATCGAAAAGAACTTCAGCAAATGAGGCAATGCGGACTTGAACCTTGTCTGTTCTTTGAGTGGGTAACAAGGGCCTGGGGAAGTTGTGAGGTTGCGGAAACCTCTACCAACCCAGATAGACTGGGTGATGGCATCTGTGGACAAGGTATCCAACGAAGAGATGTTCAGTGTGTGAGATTAGAAAGGAATAAAACTGCTCAAGATGAAAGGTGAATTACAATTTAAAGGATATATAGTATTCTACTTACAAATGCCAGCTTGTTCTCATAGCTTATATGATTGAGCTAATGAAAGTAAGATGAGGATTAGCAATCTGACTAAGAATGATTCATGAATTTATTTATTTTGACTGGATATGAATTTTTAGTACTGACGTTTCTTAATCATCAAATTTTCTTAACATAGAATACAAAATGGTGAAATTGCAACATTACAATATAAATCTAAGATCAAGACACTCTAAACAGGGTGCAAGCAGGGTACAATGGGGGGATGCTTCAAGCCTTGAAGCGCATCGAGCAAGTAGACTGAGGGTTGTTATTTTTATGTGATAAAAGACAGAATTGAGAGGATTCTACCATGTTAATTTCTATAAAACCTATAAAAACAATTTTTCTTCTCCCATTTATTTGCTTACTAGATGCGGCGACCTTCCCAAGCCTTCCGACACAAGACCATGTCAGGTTCCTTGCACCCAAGACTGCCATGTGTCAGCCTTCAGTGACTATAATTCCTGCCCTGACACATGTCACGACACCCCAACAATACACCGTTACCGATACATCCTGCAGAAAGCTAAGAACGGAGGAAGAGCCTGCCCGCCTAATCTGCACGATCGTCGGCTGTGTGTTGTACCAGAACATTGCCATGAATATAAATGGACCATTGGAACATGGGATAAGGATTGTAAATTACCATCTCGGAGAGATTGTGGTCCAGGGCTGCAAACAAGGGGTATGCAGTAACTAATTACATTCTAGTCATTGTGATCATAGGCTAATAATTACAAAAAGTGCAAATAATTATGTTGAAACTACTTTATATTCCTCTTAAATGGGGGTCAAGTTGCAAACTTGTATTAAGAAATTTTGTAATTTAATTTGCGCCACAATAAAAATTTAATATTAATAAATTAATTGAGATTGATTAAAAAATATGTAGAATATATATTGCAGATATGTATATTTTTACTTTATTAGAAACAATTAACTTTATGGCAGCAATATTACATGGAGATCAAAATAAAACTGATTACTATTTTACAATACAGTTGATTAAGAATAATATTTCATTTTTCCTTTCTCTATTTTTTTTTAGATGTTGTATGCCTAAAAGGCCAAGAACCAGCCGACATCAACTTTTGTTTAAAATACTCGTCTGAAATGCCCGCTCGATCTAAACCATGTAATGTAATGTGCGATAACGAGTGTCTTCTTACTAACTGGTCCAGGTGGAGCGACTGCTCTGACGGCTGCAAAGGCATCCAAACGCGTAACCGAAAACCCAGAGGAAAAGGTTGGTTGTGTCCCAGTTGTTCCAGTAGAATTTTGGCTAGAAAAACAATTTTTTTTATTTCAAAAAATTGTTCATTCACCATTTTGTGTGGCAGTCAACATGTGAAGCTAGACACAATATTAACTTTATGTGTCAAATGTGTGTAATATTCTCATATACAAGCATGATGATATCATATTGCACCCATATATGGGCACCATGGTGTCGTACCACACCCATATATGGGCACCATGATGTCATACCACACCTGTATATGGGCACCATGATGTACCATACCCATATATGGGCACCATGATGTCATACCACATCCATATATGGGCACCATGATGTTGTACCACACCCATATATGGGCACCATGATGTCATACCACACCCATACATAGGCATATCATTTGTCATGTGAAATTTGACAGCATTTACAAAGCATTCTGAACATGGGTGCAGATCTGTTTTGAAAATTTGGGCGGACAATCGTGAGTCCACACAAAGGTTGGGGCTGAGGTGTGAAAATAGTACCTCTAGATGGCTGGAAATGACACTCTTATATATAGTAAAATTCATTATCATGTATTCTGGCTCTTTCGTAAAACCTTGGTCATTTATGAAGTTCATTTCAACAATTTTGAGGCATCGTTTTAACTTATGAAACTATATTGCTTTCGAAATGGTGGGGACCAACCCCACCTTAAATATATGTGGAGGAACCCATGATCTGCGCCCATGATTTTGGAAGTTAAAATTGAGTTAATTAAATATGGTTTGATTTAGAATTTCTGTGCTAATATTCTTATTCATATTATTATTCTATTTTATAGAATATGATTCTTCTGCTTATAATATAATAGTGTAGTATCGGGAGGAAAGTTTGTGGGGAGATATGTGGAACAGCGATCTGATGCAATCTTAGCAACACGCAGTACTGTACATTAGTGTGTTAACCATTTACTTCTTTTGTTTAGGAAATAAGAAGGTAAATGTCCGTTGTAAAGACAGTACGTTGTATCCCACGATTGAAACACGTTCTTGTAAATGCGACACGTATACGTCTGCCTCAGTTGGGAACTGGTCGCAGTGCCTTCTTGGATTGGACAGTGCAGGTCAGGTAATGGAATCACAGAACATGTGTAAAGACGATGGCACTATAAGAGGGTTAAAATACAGAGCTGTCATTTGCCAGAATGAAGAGGGACAGGCTGTGGCCGTAAGTCGATGTGATTTAACAGAAGGTTAGTGATGTACAGTACATAACACTTTACTCAAATTCAGAAACAAATCAATGTTTCAGAAATTCTTTTGATATTTAATTTTATATTGAATGAACTGTTGTTAATATTTTGCTTAGTACTGCTTACCTTTTGTGTTTAAAATCTGTTTTATTTTATTTGACATTTTTTTCTCAAATAGTGTATCATTTTTAAAATTTGAAATATTATTTTTAAATTTTGAATAGAAGCAGCATCCATGCTGATACATAATAATACAATATTTAACAGTATTTTATGGAAACACTTGATCACCTAAACGTTGTTTTGCATCAAGACCTTAAAAATAATCATTTGTATAAAAGTCAATTTAATATTTAGCAAAACAGAAACAGATACTATGTAACAATGATATTGTTAATATCCTTTAGTCAAAAGCATATATTGTTGTAATGCATCATGAAATGTTGTAATGGTATGCAGGGCTCGACTTAAATTTGTGATCAGCCCACTGGGCTTGTTTACTGTATATTTCACTAGACCATTGGCTATTTTACTAGCCCAATCATTGGCTACATTTTACATCAGTAACATTATGTTCTTGGCCAAGCATACTGGAAAAAATAGTTTATTACTACTAAATCACTGGCCTACCAGGCTAGTAATAAAGTTAGGTTTACTAGCCCAGAGGTGTTTTTACTAGACATTAAACGACGGACTAGTACTAAATCGAACCCTGGGTATGGAGAATGTTTGTGTTGTTTTATGGATGCTAATAGAGTGTATGATGGTATATATTATGATGCATTATGGGAAGCATAACTTTGGATTGTGGTATTATGTATTTATCTGTAATGATATGGTGTATTTTAATGATGCATTGTGGGAATAAATCTCTTTCAATTTTATTCGATGGCGTGTAATATTTGACGCGAGTTCTTCCATCTTGATTTCCACTCTTAATATCTTCTTTCAGAATATGAAACTATGAATTGCAGTCTGCCTTGTCCTGTGAATTGTCAGCTCAGTCAGTGGACTCCGTGGACCTCCTGTAGTAAAACAGTGGGGTCTGGCATCAAGACTAGAACCCGTAGTGTGATCAAGCCGGACATGAATGGTGGCAGACAATGCCCACCACATAAGAATAATATCGTAAGAACCATCAATCAATTAAATATTTAATGTTGATTTTTGTTAAAATCAGCCAATCTGTCAATCAATCATTCAGTCAACCAACCAACCAATCAATCCATTGACTAAAGTAATTGTACCATAGAAAGGATGACATGCATATTGGTGTTAATTTTTTTTCATTTGCAAAAATGGGGGTTTTTTTCACGATTTTCTCGGATGTAATTTCTAAAATGTATATATTTTTGTATTTATAATTTATTTTTAATATATTCTTTTTTATAATATTGGTAATATTTACCATATTTCTTGATTCACAGGTTACTGAAGAGGTTGTTTGCTACACATCTCCAGACCAATTCTTTTGGAAGGCTGGACTGTGGGAAGATTGTTCACTGCAGCGATTTGAAGAGAACGGTAATTGTGGTTCAGGAATTCAATATAGAAGTGTTCGGTAAGTTGCAAAAATGTTATCTTGTGAGTCTACTGATACATTTAACAAAAGAAGTTATGCAATCTATTGTGATATAATATTTCTAACTTTATTTAAAAAAATTTTGAAGTTTAACATATTGAAGTTTATGTGCTGGGATGGGTGATTCTAATCATTTTGACAAGTGTTTCATAATGCTGTCTGACAAGAATGAAAATTTCCGACTATGACCAGCAGGATGGGTGCTTAGACAGTATTCTCCCTCATGCCTAAAAAAACTTGAAATTTTTGGCTATTTTAAGCTGTCCTCAGAAATTTTAGCATATTTATTGCCAAAGTTATTTTAAAAAGGAAAATAATTTTTCCTATTTTTAGATCCACATTTTGTGTCTGATGGGGCTGTAGTTGTCAATTATTTTACCATAAATATAATTTTTTCTTTAGTTTCAAATTTACTACTATGCAAGTTGACTAGATTTAATTGATTATTGTTGTGAATCATTACAGGTGTTACTCAAAAGCAACCCCGGTTGCTGATGAGGTACCAGCATATGATACAATGTGTAGCAGCACAAATCAACCTAGTACCAATCGGCCGTGTCGTATAGCCTGCTCTGATGAACTTATTGTTGGAGAATGGTCGGAGTGGACAGAATGCCCTCTGGTAAGAAAAGTTCATTTTGAAATGTTAAATTGTATTTCTATTATTTGAATACTTACCTGGATAAACAAGTTATTACCTTTTTCTTTTAAAATAACACCCCAACAAAGGAAATAGAATCTGTAATTCTGCTAAAAAGGTTTTTGAATCATTAATCTATGTTTTTGTACCATTCCCAGATATGTACACCTGGTAGTCGAAGACAGCGGGAGCGTGCTGTGCTGCGGTATCCTTCTAGCGGTAGTAGCCTATCGGACACCACTGAATTCGAGGCCTGCGAGTGTAACCGGTACAGCTGGAAACTGTCTTACTGGGGTGCGTGTGAGCTGCACAGTCACGCCATATGTGGTGCTGGGAAGCAAGCTCGTAGCCTGGACTGCATCAATCAGATGGGTGTGCCTGTAGCTTGGTCCGTTTGTCAGAAGGTAAGATCACTTATATAGGTTCGGTTTCCATAAAAGCAACAAGAGTTATGAGTGAAGTGTAGAGGCCACATCTTATATTGCACTAATATAAATAAGACTTGTGTTTCTGAAGCTCTGTCCAGATTACTAAATTTTCTTTGTCAAAAAATTGTTGTATGCCCATATATAGTCATGATGTGCCTAAATATGTGACATCATCATGACCTTATTTAGGCATGTCACTTGTTTTTGTCAGATAAAATTTTATAATCCAGGCAGGGCTTTAGTGAACAATATTGTTGACATGCTGCCCAACTAATGATTGCATGATATTTGCCTTAAACAATTCCATTTCCATTTATCCTATAGTACAATTTACCACAAGAGAGTGTTTTGGTCCAGGATTGTTTGGTTTTGTGTCCCATTGACTGTAAAATGTCACAGTGGTCTGAATGGACGTCATGCTCTCAAACTTGTGGACTTGGAGGTATAGTACTGTAGTAGGGACACATGTATGCAAATGTTCTACTGTAAATATAAAAATGAACAATATCTCAGTAATAAAAAATAAATGTTATTACAAGTAATGAATTTCTATAACACGTTTCGGTAGCTATTGTTGTGACTTGCTTGTTTGTTTGTTTAATAGCTTAATAGTAAAACCAACTAAGAATAATAATACATTACAGAATAAGTGTGTGGAAGGAGGCCAAAATAAGTTCAGAATAAAACTTTAAGCCATGACCACCAGTTAAAAATCATACAAAAATCCACAAATATAAAAACAATATATATATATATATATATATATATATATATATATATGTTCATCCCAGCAGACAAGTCTACGAAATGGACTACGACCGACATAGAAAG